GAATAAAATAAAGGTCCATTTACAACTAAAATAAATATGTATTCAAAAATCGGGGGGGTAGGAAAGACAGTGGAATGACATAGGCATCATTACCTTAAGTACATGTATGAAGACATGAATGGTGTGAATATACTTTGGGTACAACCAGAGATACAGAAAATTATGCTCTATATGTATAATATGCATTGTAATGCATTCTGCTCTCAGATATATGAAATTAGAATTTTAAAAATGAGGGGTTTGTTTAAGTCAAGAGATAAAAAGCATGAAATCAGGAAAGTTTGATGTTCTACTTATATCAATAATTTCTCCAACTGGAAGTTTATACAATAAGAACAAAATCAGCCTTGTTAAATTTAGTTTTTTAAATTGGTATCAGGGATTGAACCCAGGAGTGCTTAACCACTGAGCAACATCCCCAACCTTTTTTTTATATTTTATTTAGTGACAGGATCTTACTTAGTTGTTTGCAGCTTTGCTAAATTGCTAAGGCTGGCCTTGAACTTGCAATCCTCCTCCCTCAGCCTCAAGGTATGAATTTACTTTTTATAAATTGATTAATATAAAGTAGTAGTTAGTTAAAATATCAAAATGGCAAACAAAACAATAAACTTTCATCAAAAAGGGAGAAAAGGTAGCTTTGAATAAAATAAGAATTATACTTAATCTGCATTATGCACATACTATTATTTGTATTTTGGATTATCTATTAATTCTGGAACAGTTTACCTTTTACTATTCCACTTCTTCATGTGCCTTCTCATTTCCTGGGTTCCTTTCTCTATTCTCATTAGTCTTCTCCCAAAGCCTTTGCTCTATTTTTTTTCTGGATGTTGCCATTTGTTTTGGTTTGGAAGTGAGGTGTCTCCCAAAAGCTCAGGTGTGAGACAGTGCAAGAAGGTTCAGAGGAGAAATGGTTGGGTTGTGAGAACCTTAACCCAACCAGTGAATTCATCCCCTGATCGGGATTAACTGAGTGGTAACTGAAGTGGTAGGGTGAGGCTGGAGGAGGCGGGAATTGAGGCATAGCTGTGGGGTATATATTTTGTGTCTGGAGAGTGGTGTCTCCCCCCCCCCTCCCCCGCTTCCTGATCACCATGTGAGCTGCTTCCCTCTCCCACTCTCTTCTGCCATGATGTCCTACCTCACCTTGAGCCCCAAGGATTGGACCCGGCTATCCATAGCTGAGACCTCTGAAACCATGAAGGGCCCCCAAATAAACTTTAACTGCCTTACACTTGTTCTGATCGAGTCCTTTAGTCACAGCAGCGAAAAACCTGACTAAAACATCATTTCATTTTCCAATGAAAAGGATGTGGCTAGATTACCACTTTAAATCATCTATATAATTTTTCATATCAGTGTAAATCATGATGACTTTTAACCACTATTGACATCCCATAGGAGTTTTTCTTACCATTCCATACGTAGATGCTTGCTGTGAAGTCACTGGATAGGCCACTGGAGGTAGTACCTTAAAGAAAAGTTTCAGTTACTATATATTTTCTACTATTTAATAAAAGAACTATAATATGTACCACAGAACAACATTTCAATAGTAGTCCCACAGGAAAATTTTTATTTTTATAACCTTGCCTGATCTCTGCTCTCCTCCCGCTTCCTCTCTGCTCTCTGCTTTCTTTCTCTGCTCTCTTTCTCTCCTTTCTGCTGCTCTCTTCTTCTCATTTTCCTCCCTTTGGGTAGCCCCCCCAATAAAAATCTCTTGGTTGAAAAAAAATAACCTTCACTGAGGGTTCAGGGGATTAAATTTAATAGTTGATGTGTTATACACTAGTGGGTTGGAGTATTGTGCCACAAAATCTTTACCATATGTCATCATCATCATTATCATCATCATCATCTCCATTATCATAGATACATATATGTGTATATGTATATCCCATATATATTATATTTTTTGAGCAGTTACTGTGACCTAGACACTATTCCAAGTACTTTACATCTTTTACCCTATTTAATCCTTATAACAACATTATAAGTAGATGTTATTTTATATGTGTTTTACAGGTAAGAAAACTGAGGCATGCAGATGTTCTGTACCTTACCCAATGTCACACAGATATTAAGTAGGCTCTACCTAGTTTCACACTCAGGCAATCTGGCACTACAGCCTGTACTTTCAAGCACTATACTACAACGTGACATAAAATCCCTCCTGGTTTAAGGCCTGCCAGCAAGTGGCATGAATTATTACTTCTTCCTTCTTCCTACAAAAAGAATAGGTTTGAAGCATTTTCACCACAAAAACATAAGGAGGTGAGGTGGATACATTCATTACCTTTATTTAACATCTCTATAATGGATACACACATCAAAACATCACATTGTCCCCATAAAATGTACAATTACTTGTCAAATAAATAAATCTGAAAAGGGAATGAAATTCTAACACATATTCTAATGTGGGTAAACCATGAAGACATTATGTCATCTGAAATAAGAGAGATACAAAAGTACAAATATTTTAAAAGAGCCAAATATCAGAGAGGGAAGAACTTTCTTTTCCATTAGGCAGGCTGTGGTTACATAAGGACAGGGACATAAAAACTATTTGTTTTTTCTAATTCTCCATTTTAACCACTTAAGACCTCACTTGTTTCAATCACAGAAGTGGTTGTAGTCTGGTTAGAAAACTGGAAAATACCAATGGGAAGATGTTTAATGAACTCCTCAGTTCATTGACAACTTCTCCTAACTGTGCATGAGTTGACCTAATCTTGAGCAGAGCAAAGACTGTGATCACTAAACCAGTGAAAAGACCAATGTCCAGATCACAAGCTGATCATTATATGGTACATGTACAAGACAGTCCCAAAGAGGAGCACAAAAAATATTGAAACTGAGCTGACACTGGAACCAGAAGCCAAAGAGGTAGTCAATACTTGCTACTTAAACCTATGTAGGTCAAGTACCAGTTAAAATAGAAAAATCAACATTCTTCATAAAATTTAACAAAACAGCCAGGCATGGTGGTGCATGCCTCTAATCCCAGTGGCTCTGAAGACTGAGACAGGAGGATCATGAGTTCAAAGCCAGCCTCAGCAAAAGTGAGGTGCTAAGCAACTCAGTGAGACTCTGTCTTTAAATAAAATTTAAAATAGGGCTGGGGATTGGCTCAGTGGCTGAGTGTCCCTGATTTCAGTCCCCAACCCCTCCAAAAAATAAATAAATAATCATAAAGTTCAATAAAACAGAGTCTTAAAAAGTAATATTCAAAATATATGGGATACCATCCAAAGTTACTTGGCACATGATGAACCACAAAAATATTTTTTGCATGGAAAAGACATTTAATAGAGGCCAATGATTCAGATGACCATAGTTTTTTGTTGTTGTTGTTGTTGTTGTTTTTATGAGAAACCAATACAGGCCAGAATAAAGCAGCACATTTTCAGGTGCTCTAGGAAAAATAAATTCAAAATTCTATATTCAGTGAGAATTTGCTTAAGGAATCGAGATGAAATAAAGCCATTCTCAAGTGGAAAAATAAAAAGAGAATTCATAGCCAAAATTTCTGACACCAGAAGTTCTTCAGGTAGAAGATAAATGATAACAGAAAGAAACTTGGAATATGAGCAATAAAGGAAGAGTAATAGAAATGCTGAATACCTCGGTAAATGTCACAGAATATTTTTTCACTCTTGATTTCTATAGAACTTGTTTGATGGTTACAGTAAAAAGTGTAACATAAAGAAAGATAAGACCAGGCTGGGGTTGTGGCTCAGAGGTAGATTGCTCGCCTATCATGCGTGAGGCCCTGGGTTCGATCCTCAGCACCACATGAAAATAGAAAAAAAGACATTGTGTCCACCTATAAGTAAAAAATAAATATTTTAAAAAAGAAAGATAAGACCCCTATATGGTGCTAATGTTTCTATATTCCAAAATGGAAATGGTAAAATGTTGATCTCAATGGACTAAAAATGTATTTATTTTCTAATTTCTAGAGTAACAACTGAAAAAAAAAAACTATACAGAGAGATATAGTACAAATCAAAATATATAAATGAAAACTGAGTATAATAAAATAGAGAGGCTGGACACAATGGCACACACCTATAATCCCAGCAACTCAGGAGGCTGAGGCAGGAGGATGGCGAGTTCAAAACCAGCCTCAGCAAAAGCGAGGTGCTAAGCAACTCAATGAGACCTTATCTCTAAATAAAATACAAAAATGGCAGCTGGGGATATAGCACTATTGGTAGAGTGCTTGCCTCACATGCACAAGACCCTGGATTCAAAACCCAGCACCAGAAAAAAAAATAAAATAAAATAAGCTAAGTGCAGTGGCAAACACCTGTAATCCAACTGGCTCAGGAGGCTGAGACAGGAGCATTGTGAGTTCAAAGTCAGCTTCAGCAAAAAGCAAGGCCTATGCAACTCATTGAGACCCTGTCTCTAAAGAAAATGCAAAGTAGAGCTCAGTGGTTGAGTGCCCCTGAGTTCAATCTCCAGTACCAAATATATATATATAAAAGAACATTGAGGGCAAGAAAGAGGAGACAGGAACAACAACAACAACAAATAGAAGGAAGAAATAGAAAACAATAAAACAGCAGACAGACCTAACTACAAGTTCACCAATAATGAAATTAAATGCAAATGGATTAAACAAATAAAAAACAGAAATTGTCAAAATCAATTTTTAAAATATCCCAACTCTATACTATACACAAGAGACTCAACTCAAGTATGATGATATAGTCAACTTAAAAGTAAATGTATCAGGGCTGGGGTTGTGGCTCAGTGGTAGATCAGTTGCCTAGCACGGGTGAGGCATTGGGTTTGATCCTCAGCACCACATAAAATAAATTTAAAAATAAAGTTATAAAAACAATGTAAAAAAAGTAAATGTATGAAGAAAAACATACAAACACTACTCAAAAGAAAGTTGTTATACTGACATCAGAGTAGACTTCAGAGCAAGGAAAATTACCAGGGTAAAGGGGAATGTTACATATTGAAGCATATCTGGGGACTTAATACGTCTCTGAATTTCTGTAGACAGAAAAATTACACAGAAAATTAGCAGTTTTAGAACAAATTCTAATTGCCATTTCTAGAGCATATCACCCAACAATAGCAGAACACATTTGCTTTCAAGCCTTCATAAAATGTTCACAAAGACATACCATATACTGTGTCATAAATCAAAATGTAAATTTAAAAGAATTTGAAATATACAAAACATTTATCTGACCACAAAGAAATCAAACTAGAAATCAATAACAGAAAGACAACAACAACAGTTTCCAACATTTAGAAATTATATAACACACCTCTAAATAATCTATGGGTCAAAAGAAGTAGAAAATATACTGAATTGAATAAAAATGAAAATACAATATAATAAAACATTTAGCTTACATCTAAAGCAGGGCTTAGAGTGAATTTTATAGCATTGGTGAATTGTATAGCATCAAACACTTTTATTAGAAAGTATGAAGTCTGGGCTAGGAATACAGCTCAGTTAGTAGAGTGCTTGTCTTGCTTGCATGCACAAGACACTGGGTTCAATCCCCAGGACTACAAAGAAAGAAAAAAAGAAAGTATGAAGTCAATAATCTGAAAACAGGAAACCAAAATCAAGCAAAAGGAAAAAGACAACAAAGCAGAAATCAAAACAATTGGAGATTGGAAAAAAATGGAGAAAATTCAATGAGACTAAAAGCTGGTTCTTTGGAGGAAAAAAAAAATCAATAAAACTGATAACCCTCTAAGCAAAACTGAGAAAAAGAAATAAAAGAAGACATTAGTCACCAACAGAAAGAGTTGGGCAACCCCTATCAGTTTCCCTCTTACCCTGCCCTGCAGGAGTTCTGTTTCTATTCACACTTGAATAAATCCTACACTTATATAAATCTGGACCACCCAAAAATGAATAAAAGATAATAGTTTAGAGATCTCTAAAGAACAGCTGTATGAACATAAAATTTGACCCAAATTTATGTTATTTCTACATCTCATTCTCTTTATTCTGACCCCAAACTTCCTTGCTATAGCTTCTCTAGCTTATTAATCATCTGTGTTGTTTTTTTCTTAAGCATCCATTTCCCTCAAATTGCTCTAGTCATTTTCAAGTGTATTTCAACAGCACAGCCACACCTTTCCGCACTATGTTTCAAAATTACTTATTCCTTCTTCCCAAAACCTCCCAAAAATCTTATTACTAAGATATATATTTCAGCTGGATATTAGAAAAATAAGTCGCTATGTACTCAATAATTAATATGCTGTTTGTTCTATCATTGGACAAAGAATATTTTAAAGCAAAATAACAAAAAATAGCTGAGGTTCACAATCCTTTATTTTAAATCCTTGGGGCCAAATGTATTTCTCAAACCAGAAAAGCTAAAATATGATTTCCCCAATAATTATCTGCAATTTTAATATCCCAAAAGCTCTGGGAAACAAGTTTATTTCTTTTTCTTTCTTTTTTTTTTTAAACATACCCGAGAGAGAGAGAGAGAGAGAGAGAGAGAGAGAGAGAGAGAGAGAGAGAATTTTAATATTTATTTTTTAATTTTTGGTGGACACAACATCTTTGTTTGTATGTGGTGCTGAGGATTGAACCCGGGCCGCTTGCATACCAGGCGAGTGCGCTACCACTTGAGCCACATCCCCAGCCCAAGTTTATTTCTTAATGTTTGTTGCAAAATGTTACCCAAGCTATAATGAGGCTATAGTCATTATTTTTCCTACTACATGCAAATATTCATACATTATCATCTGTGCATTTTGCTGAAAAAATATTAATGCATTTGATGAATATGTGCTATCCCTCCCCTAGGGCTGTTACATAATATGTATTATTTGTATTTTCTAATTTGTCAATTGATGATTGTTAATTTACTTCATCTTTTATCTCATCTTCACCTCCTTTATGAAATTAACCAACAAACCCTCTCAAGTATTCCATGCTAGTACTTATAATATTCAATACCTTTATTTCATGATATTTCTCTACACTCACAGCTCCTTTAAAACAGTCATGTTCCTATTGGATTCTGTATCTTTACCACTCAGCACACTGTTTGGAACTAACAGAGATTTAATAAACATGAAGCAAAATGATGGAAGATTCTGGGTTGGGAAAATAATTTTAGGATTTACACATGTCCAAAATTTGAATTTTCATGCTTTAGTTTTTATAAAATAGTTTAATATGTATACAACATTGGTGCAATACATTAAAACTGATTAAAAAGAAAAACTGTCTTGCTCTACCTTCTTCCTTAAAACAAATTTCTATGTTATACACTTACATTTAAAAGATAAAAGTAATAATATAGCCAAAATATTACCATGTGGGGAACAAGAGGAGCAGAAATAGAATTCCAGATGGTTGATGTACAAGAGGAGGTATTCAACTGCCAGTTCATTCCACCATTAACTTCCATTTCTGAAGGTTGACAGCACTTCACTTCAGTTCTAATAGAAAAATGATAATATCTTCAATAAATTGGGTTGGGAAAACTAGATATCAACATGGAAAATAATGAAATTAGACCCTACTTCACACCATTTACAAAAATCAACTCAAAATGGATTGAACACTTAAAACTAAGACCTGATACTTTAAAATCGCTTGCTATAGTTTGGATTTAAATGCCCCCAAATGCCTGTGTGTTGAAGGTTGCCAGCCTGAGGTGTCATGGGGAGGTGTAGAACCATTAGGAGATGAAGCTTAGTGAAAGAAAGCTAGGTCATTGGGGACATGCCCTTGAAGGGTGTATTAGGACCCCAGCCTCTCCTCTCTCTCTAACAAGTAATTACTATATCTAATTTTAAAATGATTTTAAAGGGCTAGACTTGTGGCTTGAGTGCTTCCCTAGCATGTGTCAAGCACTGGGTTTGATTCTCAGCACCTAATATAATTAAATGAATAAAACAAAGGTCCATCAACATCTAAAAAAATAAAAATAAAATAAAAGTGATTTTTGAGGTTTTACTTTTATGAGTCACTTCATGGAATATGTATTTGCTGTAATTTTTAAAAATAAAAACTTACTTGTCAATGGGGCTTTCTCCAAAGTTAAGATCTATTTCATAAAACAAATACAAATTTTACATTATTTTTGTGCAAATATTGTTTTCTTAAAATGTGTAAAAATATATTAAAATATTAATTGCAAAAATAGTTGTTTACTTCCTACGAGGCTAACAAGTGAGCCGTCCAAGTTGTTTGCTATTATCGTTGCACCTTGCTGTTTGTCTCCAACAGATTTGCCGGCTGCTGAAGGTAATGTAAGTTGTAACACATCATGTAGGGGAAACAATCTGAAAATAAGAGACAGAATAAGATAAAAACATAAACCAAATTTACATCAGAACAGCAATGACATATATGTACCCACCTGGTACAAACTAACAGGATTTCAAATATTTAGGTAAATGAATATAAATAAAGTGATGTTGTTATTAATACAGTAATCTTAATTGAGTAGTTGTTATGTGCCACACTGTACTGTGCTAAAGATAGAGAGCAGTGAAGCACATCACACCCACCTATAATCCCAGCAGCTTGGCAGCCTGAGGCAGGAAGATCCTGAGTTCAAAGCCAGCCTCAGCAATGGTGAGGCTCTAGGCAACTCAGTGAGACCCTGTCACAAATAAAATACAAAACAAGACTGGGGATGTGGCTTAGTGGTCAAGTACCCCTGAATTCAATCCCTGGCACAAAAAAAAAAAAAAATACAGCAGTGAGCAAAACAAAAATGCACACCTTCATATAGTTTACGTTGTATTGGAGACAGAATATAACCAAGAAAAATCAATTTTATGTTAGACAGTGATAAGTCCTAAGAAAAAGAACATCATGGAAAGGGATATGATCTGTTCATAAAGATCTGTCCAATAATGAGTGGTGGTTTGAAAGCACCTACTGTGATATATTTTCTCAAATTCTCCATATATACCTAATAATTTTTGCTTTGTGTATTTAACTTCGTGCATGCAGTAGTTTAGATTTTAAATAGGATAGGCTCACTGAGAACTGAACTTTTATTTATTTATTTATTTAATTTTTTTTAAAGAGAGAGAGAGAGAAAGAATTTTTTTAAATATTTATTTATTTTTTTTTAGTTTTCGGCGGACACAACATCTTTGTATGTGGTGCTGAGGATTGAACCCAGGCCGCACGCATGCCAGGCGAGCGTGCTACCGCTTGAGCCACATCCCCAGCCCGAGAACTGAACTTTTAAGTAAAGACTTGAAGGATATGAGAGTAAACCACTGTGATCTAACAGAAGAGAAAAGACCTTGAGGAAAGAATGTGTTTGGTTTGTTTGAAAAACAATGAGAAGACCAACATTTTTGTAGCTGGAGTGATCCAAGGGATCAAAAAAGCAATTGTGGCAAGGGAGGGTTCAGATCATAAAGGTCCTTTTAAGAAATTGTAAGGATTTTGACTTTTATTTGGAAACTACCACCCCAGGCCAACTTCCTTGAGGTGGGTAACCGTTAAAGGGACTTGAACAGAGGCATGCTCATGCTCTAACTTGTATTTTAATGAGATCATTCTGTTGTGGGAAGAATGGAGTACAGGGGCTATACGAGAAGCAGAGAGGTGGTAAGGAGGCTCTTGCAGCAGTCTCTGATGAGTTTCTGCCTTATTATTGTTTTCCCAGTGCCCAGGCAGTGCCAGGGACATAACTGACAATCACAAAGTCAGCAAGTCCATAAATAATTGCTGAATGAGGAAATTAAACGCAGTATTGCATTCAAGTATATGGAATATATTTTCAAAAACTGTAGCTGCACATAATGACCTAAATGCAACTGTTAATAGTTCGCATTTATAATATATCTATTCAATTACAATAAAATTTTTTATCATTGTTAAATAAACTAATTTTTTGTATTTGGGATTGAACCTAGGGTACCTAACCACTGAATCACATCCACAGCCCCTTTTTTTAATATTTATTTTTCAGTTTTTGGTGGACACAATATCTTTATTTTATTTTATGCGGTGCTGAGGATCAAAACCAGCGACCCGCGCATGCCAGGTGAGCGCGTTAAGGCTTGTGCTACATCCCCAGCCCTCCACAGCCCTTTTTGTTTGTTTTGATACAGGGTCTCACTAAGTCACTTAGTGCCTTGCTATGTTGCTAAAGCTGATCTTGTATTTGCAATCCTTCTGTCTCAGTAAATAAAATAATTTTCACTACCAATTTTCAACAGATATCAGAATATATATATATGCAATAAATCTTATTTTTCAATGATTATTAGAATGAAATATTTCCAAAAAGTCATTGTCACTAATTGCTAATACAGAAATTATTATATAATGTATTAATCATGTTTCAAAATATCTTAGACTACTGTAAAACATTGTTAATTCAATGAGTCTCTAAGTAAATATTTTACATACAGAGCAGAAAATATGGTCAACAACACAACTCATGTCTGTCTCATGGTTTGTATTGTTTAGCTGGAAAATTATAATTTTTGAATACTTTGAAAGGAGTACAGGATGCTATATGAATGTATGAAGGACATTTGACTTCATTTATGGAGTCAAGTATAACTCCTCTGTGTTAGTTAATCTGAAACTTAAAGGATAAAATATAGGTTAAACAAACCATGGGGGTTGGGGCCTAGGGAAGGAGGACAAAGAATTCCAAATGGAATAGAAAGACCCTGGGGATGTTTAAGTAAGTGAAAGAACTCTAGTATTCTAGAAAGTTGGGCAAGAATGACAAAAAATAAATGAAGATTTGGGGCTTTATCCTTGGATAATGGAAAGTCTCTGAAAGATTTTGAACAATGGAATGTCATGATTATATTCCAGTCTCTAAAATATCACTGTGGTTGTAATAAGGAGAAGGAATCAGAGAAGGGCAAGAATAGATGTAGATAATCCAGTTAGGTGGCTATTATGTATTCCAGGAAAGAAATAATGGTGGTTTTAATTAAGTCTATGGCATTTTAGTTTCAGAGGAGTGGAGAGAATTCAGAGAAGTATAATGAATAGAATTTCATAGTGGATTGGAGTAAAAGGAGAGAAAATTATTTTTTAAAAAAATAACTCACAGGTAGCAACTGAGGCCCTGGGTGGATGGTAGGGCTATTTACTGAGCCCAAGGCAAAAGCAAAGGAGTAAGGTTTAGGAGATGGTAACTAAACAATTTTTCTAACTTTTTTTTTTGGAGGGGGTACTAGGGATTGAACTCAAGAGCACTCGACCACTGAGCCCCATCCTGAGCCTTCTTTTGTATTTTATTTAGAGACAGGATCTCACTGAGTTGCTTTGTGCCTCACTTTTGCTGAGGCTGACTTTGAGCTCTCAATCCTCCTGCCTCAGCTTCCCAAGCCACTGGGATTACAGATGTGGGCCACCATGCCTGGCATCAGGTTCATTTTTAATAAATTGAGTTTGAGATAACTGCAGAACATGCAAGTGGGGAAGTCAAGTAGACAGCAGGATATATTAGTTTTGAGCTCCAGATATGAATATAAGCAGGGATATAAATTATTTCTATCTATATATTCAGAATATGGATAGTAATTTAAACCATGAGGGAAATATCTTCAACCAAGGCCAGAGAAAACATTGAAAGAAACCACCAAGGATACTGACCTTTTGTTCTACCATGAAAGGAAGTGGGTAGGACAGTTGAAAGGTTTGAGAAAAATGAGAAAAGCAGAAAGTAGAGCCAGAGAAAAGAAGCCACAGAGAAGTGTAGGGTGAGCAAAATGTAAAGGAGAGATTATTATACAGGTTTTAATCTTTGGTGAGACTAAGAAAAGACAGAAGCAAAAAAAAAAAAAAAAATCAGCGCTTACTATGGGCCACACTCTGTTCTAAGCACTCTACCTGTATCAACTTACTTAATCCTGACAGCAACCTTATGAAGATAAGGAAGTTGAAACACAGAGAGGTTAAGTTAACCTCCCTAAAATACACAGTCTATGAGTGGTGTAGTGAAATTTGAGCCCACTCTGACCCCATGACCAACATTTTAAAATCAGAGTTTCACAGTGACTTAAGAGACGAAGTATTTTCAGCTGATCCCACAATTGTTCATAGAATTGGCTTAAGTAATGAAGATGGCATGTATGAAGATCACCAGTGGCCAGTCTTGGTCTGGCAGGAATCATGTCCATATGTTTTCATTATACTGTAGTTCTCCCAATACTCAGGACTTACATTCACTTACATTCACATTGAACTGGATCTAGAGATTGTTCTCTTGACCACTATGTTTAACTATATTGTAAAATCTGTTGTAATAATGATTCCCAAACCATAGGACTCAGAAAAGTGACAGTAGTAAATCTAATTGAAATTAAGCAAGTGTTTAATTTATGCTAATTATGTTAATTTATGTTAATATATGCTATATATATGGTTTTATTCAAAGGATTAAGGTTCATCATAGTTTTGGTCAAACTCCCTCATTAAACTCACCCATTAAAATGCAGAATTCCATTGGAAGTATATGCATAAAAGGAAAAAAAAAGAATTTAAGTCTTTAAGTTAAATTAAGAAAAATTAATTCAGAACATATAAACCCTATAATAATATAGCTCATTATTACATGGATTTGTGTCTACAGTAAATAATCAAATAACATCACTGAAATAACATAACCTACTATAAAAAACAGAATTTGGCAGCCTATGAGAAGCCATGTACCATTAAATGTATAACAACCAGCTCTCCAGATTAAAAAGAGGAGGACTAATTTCTGTAATGTAAATACTACCACCAAGGTCAATTTCAAGCTACCAAAATGACATCAACCACCTAACAAAATTCCTAAAAATTTAATGACCTTAAGGGACTGCAAAGGACTCCTACGTTAAAATTACAAAGTGTCACACTGTATGCTGATCGAGGTGACACATGCCTGTAATCCCAGCTGCTTGGGAAGCTAAGATAGGAGGATCGTGAGTTCAGGCCAGCCTCAGCAATGGCAAGATGCTAAATAACTCAGAGAAACCCTGTCTCTAATAAAATACAAAATAGGGCTGGGATGTGGCTTAGTGGTCGAGTGCCCCTCAGTTCAATCCCCAGTACTCCCCCCGCCAAAAAAAAAAAAAAACAAGGTGTCACACTGTGTGTGTGTGTATATATATATATATATATAAATTTGTTTTAAAAGATCATTGTTTACATGGTACAAAATTCAAAAGTTATAAAGTGGCATACAGTGAAGAATCTCCCACCCATCTCTTTCCATAAACCACCATATTATTCTTGAAGGCAGCCCATTTTAATTCACTTCTTACATATTCTCTTTAGCATACTATGTTTCACACCTTACTCATTTGTCATTAAACATCTTGGAGATGATTCCATCTCAGTACATAAAAATAAACTTCTTGGGCTGGGGATATAGCTCAGTTAGTAGAGTGCTTACCTTGCATGCATAAGGCCCTAGGTTCAATCCCCAGCACCCCCCCCCCCCAAAAAAAAAAGATTCTACTCCTGTCTTAATTATTATTGACATAATCATGTAATAATGTCATATTACCTTCAAACAAAGTTGTGCTTCCTGAAGCTTTTGAAACTGGACCAGCTGGGATGGATGGAATAAATACATGCTGGAAACTAAAGAAATCATAAGAAAGATGAGGGACAGTGGAAGATAAATAAAAGCAATTATCCTACCTAGCAGAGCCAACATTTCTTTGATTCATCCATGTATTCTTTCATCTATTTAACTATGTAGTAACTGTATACTGATCTGTGATAAAGAGAGGATAATAATAAAATCAATTACAGTCAACATAATCTACAAAAGTGGAATGAGGGACTGGGTAGCTCAATGAAAGAACACATGCCTAGCATTTACAAGGTCCTGGGTTTAGTCACCAATACTGAAAAAATAAGCAAACAAAAACCCAAACAATGAAAAGGGGAATGAATACTACATGTCCCATGTAGAATGTTGGACAATACAGAAAAGTATAAAAAGAAAAATGAAATCAACCATAATTGTTCCACTCAGAAATAGTGGAAGTTTTCAGAAGATAGACTTCAAACTTTTTATTATTCAATTTGTATGTAATGTGTGTGTCTATGCACCAGACATGTTTTGAACGTTATTCTGTTTTGTAAATGAACAGTTTACTGTGCCATTAAATAATCTTCCACAAGGCTGGGGTTGTGGCTCAGTGGTAAAGCACTTGCCTAGCATGTGTCAGGCACTGGGTTCAATCCTCAGCACCACATAAAAATAAATAAATTAAATAAATAAATAAATAATGGTATTGTGTCCATCTACACCTAATTTTTTTTAAGAGAGAGAGAGAGAGAGAGAGAGAGAGAATTTTTTAATATTTATTTATTTTTTTTAGTTTTCGGCGGATACAACATCTTTGTTTGTATGAGGTGCTGAGGATCGAACCCGGGCCGCACGCATGTCAGGTGAGTGCGCTACCGCTTGAGCCACATCCCCAGCCCCCTAATTTTTTTTTTAAAGATTTATTTTTTAATTGTAGTTAGCACAACACCTTTATTTATTTATTTATTTTTATGTGGTACTGAGAATCGAACCCAGGGCCTCACAAGTGCTAGGTACCGCTGAGCCCCAGCCCCAGCCCCAGGAAGCTAATTCTTGAAAAGTGACATTTCCATCTCAATCTCAGACATTCACTTTAATAAAACACGTTCCCTTGTGACGAGTATGGTATCCCACAAAACATTTAAAAACACAGTTCCTATCACCATTTAAAATATCTGAATAGTATTCCATCATAGTTATAGCCCTTCCTTTTGTCAGTTTCATATTTTTAAATATTTAGGCTGAGGGAAATTACCTAGAGGAAAAAAAAATAACCTATATTAACACATTCATTAACTTACCCATAAGGAGGTAAAATGTCATTTTTCTTTTCCAAAGAAGCTAAATGTTGTTTTAGTGCTTCAATGAAACTGTGGGGTGCCTAAAAAGTTATTATAAAATATTTACTCTTTGATAGCTTTAGCACACAGTCACCCTCCCATCATGCAAACCTGGAGGAGATGCTGTGGTAAGTAGAAAGATGCAGCTAGGCACACACCCCAACAGAACCAACCAGAAGGTCCCCAGGGTTACAGCCCTTGCCATACTCTGATGAGGAGACATTATTTTTGCACTAGTTTGGAGAAAAATTGCATCACACTGCAGACAGCAGATCTTGCTACATGTATCTGCAAGAGTCACGCCCAATGGGAACTGTAGGGAATCCCTGAAAACACAGGGACAGACACAGACAGCACCTTGCAGAGGGAGGCTCTCTGACTCCCAGATGATGTCAAAGTTGAAGCAGAAAGGACTAACCCAACAAATGAAGCAGATTTCCTTCTAAGAAAGGTAACATCCAGAAGAGATCTCTCCAATGGTGAGCAGGACAGCCTCCACACACATAAAGCAAAAACTGCTGCAAGCACAATCCATAGTCAGGCAAGAAGCCCTTCACACCCCTTCCTGGGATCTAGCAGCAAACTGGCTGGAAAAGCTCCTTGGGAATGCTCGGTTTTCACAGACCTCTCTCAAGGGGACCAGCTAACAGGAATGGGGCAAAGGTGGTGCAGACTTCATGCTTACTTCTCTTCTCTCCCACGTTTTACTCCATTCTGGAGTTTGCAGGACACCCAAGAAAGCATGTTGCTTGGGGAGCCCTTCTGCCAACTCAAGGCCATGACAAATGACTTTCTGTACTAGCTAAGGGCTGGGGACAGCCTACTGATAAGCAAGTTCTTGCAGTAAATGGTTTGATTTACAGAGGAAGCATGGGGTCAGCATGAAAGTTTACAAACAAGACCTTCACCTGCCTTTTAAATTCTCTATAGTATCCATCTACTTAATTTCTGATCCAGGGATCCTGAGGACTGCAGCTGAGGTAAGGAGTAGAGAGAGGGTGGCCCAATGGAAAACGTGACGTTGCAGCTGAGTACTCCTCCTGGCAAATGTCTTCTTAGAGCTCAGAACCATAGATACTGGCTGGTTAATGCTCATCTGTGCCCCAACAATGGCAAAGGTTGTGGTTATCAGCAAAAGTTCCCTTCCTGCCCCCATCACCTCTTCCAGAAAATTAAGTCAATGTAAAGAAAAATCAGAAGACTACATTCTGGTAGATATTTACACATTTTCTGTAGCTTCTGTTCCATCTTTTGTAGGAACTTGGGGGCCGAGATTGTGTCTTACTCATCTTGTTCCCTTAGTAACCCAAACATTCTTTTTTTCTCTGTCTCCCACCTCTGTGGTCACCTGAGTGGTCATTTAGGAAGCCATGTATTATTTCATTCTATGGTGGGTCCCATCATGAATCATGTGGTGTTTGATGTCTATATATATGTCCCCTTTGTACTTATATGTACATGATGGAATGTTTGAGATACCATAGTTCTTTCAAAGATTTATGAATCATCAGATAGAAACTCCATCTTTCAAGCCAGGTGTAGTGGTGCATGCCTGTAATCCCAGTGGCTCAGGAAGCTGAGGTGGGAGGATCGTTGAGTTCAAAGCAGACTCAATAAAGCGAGGCCCTAAGCAACTCAGTGAGACCCTGTCTCTAAATAAAACACAAAATAGGGTTGGGGATGTGGCTCAGTGGTTGAGTGTCCCTGAGTTCAATCCCTGGTACCCCTCCCCCCAAAAAAAGAAACTCCATCTTTCTCTGCCACCAAACCTAACATTTTATTCACATCTGCAACCATCCTCTTCTCCTTGCTTCCTTTATCCTCTTGAACTCACTGCTTCCACTTCTTTTCTGGATCCAATATCCTTTAATTTACCAAGGAACCTCACTCAACCTACTAACCCCTCTCTGCTCCTACATCCTCATTCTCTCTCTCTCTTCACAGTATCTTTCTTATACACATGGCTGCCACATAAATCAGTCACTGGCCTACCAGAACTTGCATCTTGCATTTGTCACCAAAAATGAAAATGTGACACCTAGTGAGACTCTCTGCTGCCCTAGAGATAGCATATTCCCACAGCAGAGAAGATTCTTCTAACCCATATTCCAAGTAACCTAAAAGCTTTGCACCTTAAATGAGGGACCAGAATAGGAAACACTCTGTGATAGGTCCAGTCTGGGGCAGAAACCCTGCAACTTAAGCCCCACAGTACATTTAGCAGGTCCAGATGTGTAAGCAGGCCAGACAAGGAGGTTACCAGAGCCCTATTTTGTCCACACCTGCTACATTACCACATCTTCTTTAATCACACTCACAGCCATGTGGGAGATCCCTGAAGACCAGTTGATGGAGAAGGAAAAACTGTGAGCTCATTTGATTCTTACAGCAGCATTTTAAGATAGGCAATAACATTATACTCTGTTGCAGTTGCAGAAATAAGAACAGAGATCATCACCTAAAGTGGACAAGGCAACCCTCAAACCTAAGCTCATTGTTCCAAATGCTCTACTATTTCCATTGGTAAGCTTTAAAAACATGATCTAGCTATTGTACCATTAGACACTGTGTGTGTGTGTGCATGTATATAAAATGTTACTTGTGGGAAAAAAAAATACACACATGTAAGTATATTGCAAAAGATGATCTCAGATGATCAGTATTTTAAACACACAAATATATAAACAAAAATCACTTAAATATATAGGGCACTAACCTGAGTAAGATATGGAATGTCACTCTGGTCAATTCCAACTTGCTGAAATCACAAGAAAAGAATAGTGAGTACATATTACAGCAAGAAGTGGCAACAAGAGTATGATGCCTTCCTGGGCTAGATCAATAAAAATATCCTGCACAAAAATACATTTGAAAACAATTTTCTATTTATTCTAAGGATAGACTCAAAAACAAAAAACTTACCAGGTATTGAGTTTGTACTGTTTTGTGAAGATCTAAGCTGTTCTTTAGCTGTCATATAAATGTTCTCTAATTTTTCAAGTAGTCAGAAGTCAGCCATTATTCATATTGTTGTTCTCTTCTCAGTAATATGTGCTTATTCTCTTTGGTTTCCGGAAGTTTTACCACCACTTGTCTAAAGTGGTTTTCTTTATATCTGTCTTGCATGGATTTCTTTAAGCATCAGGAAAACATGAAACTCCCCTGAGGTATTTCTTTCTCTTACCGCAGACCTGTTCTACCTATTGTCCACTGCCTGAAAAGACTTGTGTCATATACATTTGGGTACAGTTTGGGAGCTCTTTCTGGTGGAAAAGTAAGCTTGTTATTGATTATCTTCATAGTTGCAAATAGTGGTCCTTATAGGATTGCTTTTGAGAATAGATGCATTGAATAGTACATTAGTAGTACCTAATTTTAGTTTTTAATTTTACTGTTAACAAAATAGATAAAAATTACTACCAATTTAGCTCTGTTTCCGGTGTCATGCCCTGAGCTGTTTTCCTTCTCCATGTTCTTTCACAATGATGTTCTGCCTCATGATGTTGGGCCCAGAGACATGGAGTCAGGCATCTATGAACTAGCACTTCTGAAACCAAATTTGAAGATGACACCATCTGCTGGCTAAGCAGTGATCAAAATGGACTTCATTACTATGATAATTACTCCCAATATCACTATAAAGAAGCCTCTGCCATTGCTCCTGGATTCTCTCACAGCTTCAGGCATGAAGCCAGCATCAACTAGGATAATTACTGACCATCACTGCCACATGGTGCACAAGAAACATTTAGTGTTCTTGTTAGGTATCTTGTAACAGCTTACACTATGTGGCTTCTGTTGTTCTTCATTTTAGTGTATCTTTTCAACCCCGTTTTTGTGCCCAAAAGAGTTAAAACAAAAAATGTAAGTACCTAATTTACAATGAGATTTACCTCATTTAAAATGGAAATAAAAACATTTTATTAATAGACTACAACCAACTTCTGTGTTTTGTACTAATGATGATGATGGAAAGAGGTATAGTTATAGTTATACCTGATACTAAAGTAATGCAGAAAATTCTTGGATAGAAATGGATTTCTGTACCTCTGCAACTTTCAGGAACTGTGCAAATTTGGTTGTTCTTCCAAGGAACTTGATGTAAATATCCAAACTTTCCCTGCATTGGTTCTTCCTCATGTCAAAATACTTATCTAAAAATAGAAAAATTATGATGAAGGGCAAGTCAGAACTGTATTATTTGATCTTGGTAGTCATTTGGATTAGTGTGTAATAGATAAATATGGCAATCCAAGCCAGCGATGTGGCACAAACCTGTAATCCCAGCTACTCTGGAGGCTGATGCAGGAGGATGGCAAGTTCAAAGTCAGCCAGGGTAATTTAGCGAGACCCTGCCTCAAAATGAAAAATAAAAAGGGACAGGGATGTAGTTCAGTGACAGAGCCAGGGATGTAGCTCAGTGATAGATGTCCCTTGGGTTCAATTCTTATTACTAGAAAAAGGAAAAAAAGGCAACCCATGTTGATTCTCTGATAATTTCCTGGAAATAGAAGTTACCACTTCTATAAAAAAAAAAAAAAAGGAAAATTTCTGTAGCAAGTTAGCCAAATAAATTTTAACTGAAAAAGAAGATTCTCATATTTTGAATCTACAGAAAATATGAATTTAAATGTAGAGATAATATATATTTACAAAAATTATTTTTAAATTATTTTATCATTTTAAAAGCAAGGTTTTATCTTACCTAGAAGATTAAGGATCCCTTCATTATAGGCTGCAAAGAGACGAAGAGAATCTTTAAAAAGGAGCATAAAAGCAGCATGTATTATACCATTAGTTAGTTCATCTGGCTTTGCCTGAAAATTAAAAAGGAATCAAATTACCACACAGTTGAAAACAATTCCTTCTCCCACTTAAATGATGCCATTTATTATCATTTTAAAAGAAAGATTTATAAAGCTCTTACATTAAAATTAAGAAGAGCATCCAATTGGGTTTGAATAACTGGAAGTGTGTTTAGCAGATCTTTGGTATTCATAATTCTCATCACACCATCCGTCCTATAAAAAAATGAAATTCATAAAAATCAATAATTGAGTTTGAGAAACACTGTAATATCAGCATCTTGAAATAAAGCTGTGTTTTTTGATAAACTACACAGCAGACTACATATATATTTTAGTATTTGCTTATAAATTAATATTTTACTGACCCTCTCTTGACTTTTGTGATGTCAGATGCAATCAGTCTATACGCGAGTGACTTTTCATTCAAGTATCTGCTGTATCGTCTGATGAAGGCTGACATAGTATAGCCTAAAAACAAGATATGTTGATAATTTCCAATTCAACCAATATTAACTAGTTACAAACTTATAAATGCAAAGATGTATCAGTCCACTTTCACCTGTATACCTTAATTTCTTTGAAATACAAAGTCTAGAATTTGTTAATTATCTAGTCTAATATTCCTTACACATTCTGTTTCAGATTACTTTTACTTCCTTAAAGCCTTGAAATTACCCCATGATTTGTTGTTGTTGATGGTGGAAACTCCTAAACAGAGGAAATAATTCAATTTTATCAGTTTCTTTCTTGTTTACAACAGAAACTATTGTTTCTACTGACTCTGAGCCAGGCCTGTTCTAGATACTAGAAGTTCATCAGTGAATAAAACAGAAAAAATCCCACCCTCACAAATAACAATGTGCTGCAATTTTTTGTAGGCTGGACCAGGCTTCACTGAGTAAAGACCTGGAGGTCTCCTTAGTGTCCCTGTCTCTAGCACACAGCATATTCTGTTATTCACAATAACCACTCAAATACGAGTTGTGTCAATGAATTTAGGGATTATTTACCTTTATAAAATATATGGCACACTTTTCATAATATAGAATCATTTTCTTAACTAGACATGTTTTCCTTTTTGCTACATAGATATATTTCCATGAAAGAGTCATCTTACCTTCTGTGACACTTTTATCTAGGAAGTTGTGTAAAGTGAACAATGAGTTTCGAGATGCAAGATGTCGGATAAAACGCTGTCAAAAAAAGTGCCAAAATCTAAAATTAGTTTCTGTACACAAAGATAGTTCACTAATTATTTTGTCATTATTACTGAATTATTTAACATAATTCTATCACATTGTTTTTGTTTATTTCAGACCATTGATTAAGCTGAGTATGATCACATATATCACAAGTCATCTACATAAAGATCTGCAGTGTTGTCAAATCTCTTCTACTTATATGAATAATAATAATGGGATAAACATTAAAGCTCATGTGAATACATACTTCTCTCCTAAGACTTTCTGTCTAATCATTCCTCCTTTGATTTTGAGTCTGATTATTTTTAAATAACAGTAATAAAGTATTACAGATGATGCTAAAGTACTCATTGAATTTAAAGGTAAATGTGTCATCTTAATGTCATCCTCTCCAGAGTAATAAATTACAGCAGCAAATAATTTACACACAATTCATAGGGTATAAAAGTTCTCATTTCCTTAATTCTCAATTATCTATGTTGCCAGAAATTTCAAGTTTTGCTAATTTGAGCATGTTCTCAGGTGGTTATCAGATATCATAGTTTTTGCCTCTTAATTGTTTATTTCAATTAGTTCACTGTCTTGCTTTTTTCTTATAATTCTGTATTCTAATGATTAATATTTGGTCTGTAACATACGATGGAAATATATCCTTCCAACTTTATGGTACCCTTCTGGCCCATATGTCATAAAAGTAATTCCCTACATTTTTAATTTTAAAATCAGTTTTTCAAATGTATATGTTTAATCCATGTGAAATTTTTTTTTAAATATCAAATAAGGATCTCATCCTTTTTTTTTTCTGTTGGGATGCCATTTGTGCTAACAGGCTGTATTTTCAATTCTTTTCATCATAGATTTTGCCACATGTTTTTAAAGTCACCAAACTCCAAGAGAAGTGTAGCTCTGATTTTGAACTCTGTATTATGTTCCTTTGTTTTGAATCAAGAATTAAACCCAGGGGCACTCGACCACTGAGCCCCATGTCCCAAGACCTATTTTGCATTTTATTTAGAGACAGGGCCTCACCGAATTGTTTAGCACCTTGCTATTGCTGAGGCTGGCTTGAACTCACAATCCTGCTGTCTCATCCTCCAGAGCCACTGGGATTACAAGTGCGTGTGCTATCATGCCTGGCTCTCTATTATGTTTTATTTATATGTGTTCTGTTTTTACCAATACTATACTGTGTAGTTACTGTTGTCTTATAATAAGTTGAAATGCAGACGATTTATAAACAGTAATTTTGAATGCAAGGGTTACTAAGACAAAATGTAAAATTAAAATACAAAATAAGTTATTTAATGTTATAGAGCATTTTAGTTTTTTGTGAAATACAAAGTGTGTGTATGGGATGAGGTGAACAGTGATTATGTAACACACTTGTATCCAATCTCCCTTGGAATATAAAGTACGTATGGAGTAATACATTTGTTGGGGGGGGAGTTTACTATAAAATCTCTAAAGACTTATTTACATATCCATTCTATTGTTTACTTTATTATCCAGATTCTACCAGGATAGTAATTTTAAAAATAGTCATTAACAAAAGCAAAAAAATATAATACCTATTAATATTCATTTATGCCACTAGTCACTTATGAAAGTTAAACTTAATAAGTCCTTTACAAACTAACAATATTCCACAATTTTGTGCTTACAGTCTTTTGTACTAAAGAGAAGGAAACAACTGACATTGTTGGTACATTCACCATGCTCACCTCTTTCCCATATACCATGAGATGATGCACGGTAATGAGGGCTTTGAACACCACCACCCAGCTGTTGCTCCTAGTTTTCTCAGAAAGAATATTAGCCAGATGTACAACACTCATATTTGTTTCATTTATGTACTGTATTAGATCTAAATTAAGAAAGTGACAAGCATTAAAATACAGATTATGAAATAATTTTCAATTTGCTTCATAATTTCATTTTTATATTCCAGAACATGCAATTATTCCTTATTTTTTTTATCAATTCAATACACTCACTGTTTTCAAAATTGTCATTATAAAATACCCTCATCTGGGGCTGGGATTGTGGCTCAGAGGAAGAGTGCTTGCCTTGCATGTGTGAGGCACTGGGTTTGATCCTCAGCCCCACATATAAATAAAATATTGTATCCATCTATAACTAAAAAAAATACTTTTAAAAAAATACATTCATCTGTAGTCCTGATTTATTGATCGCTTTTTTTTTTTTTTTTAGTTTTTGGCGGACACAACATCTTTGTTTGTATGTGGTGCTGAGAATGGAACCCAGGCCACACGCATGCCAGGGGAGCACAGTACCACTTGAGCCACATCCCCAGCCCCTGATCGGTGTTTTTATATGCACGGTACTGGGATAGATGAAGAGGAGAGTACTTGAACGTGTGTTATTTCATTGAAGCAATATGCTGACCCTTAATGTAGACCCAGATTCATGTAGTCAGTAAGAGTATATGGTCTGTGTTTGTTGTGTCCTTTTTTAAATTTTTTTTTATAAGTCTGTTTCTTTCTTGTCCTTATAAAGTTTAATGTTGAGGGTTGTTTCCTTTTTGACATGATTTCAGCCTACATGATTCTTTTTTTAAATATTTTTTTTTTTTAGTTTTTAGGTGGACACAATATGTTTATTTTATTTTTATGTGATGTTGAGGATTGAACTCGGTGTGTCATGTATGCTAGGCAAGTGCTCTACCACTGAGCCAGGATTCCAGCATGCTTGCATGAATCTTTAAGCTATTATTGTGGTAAGTCAAGTGCCCTTCTTTTGTGCCTATTTATTATAGGTAGCGGTTGTTCATTCTTTTTTTTTTTCCAAACTTTTAATTCTTGAGGAGCCAATTCTGGTATATATTTTATAATGGTCAAGGATTAGATAAATATAGTATATTTAAATAAACTATAAATAAATATATATACTATATTAAATATACTATATTTCTTTAAAATGTGTTGTATGGTGTTTCTGGAATCATGGTTGATAGAGTTTTCAAAAATGTATAAAGTTAGTAAACTGGAGCTGGGGATATGGCTGAGTTTATAGAATGCTTGTGTTGCAAGGAAAAGGCTCTAGGTTTAAGCCCCAATACTACACACATACAAAAAAAGTTAGTAAACTGTCAGTTTCTATAGCACATGCATAAATTATAATGATTTGATAAAACTTCAGTAGTCAAATACAAATTAAGCCATTGAATAAGTTGTAAGGAAAATGTCTCAATGAAAAGGGTTATCAAAATAGTGATTTAGGTAGGTGTGGTAGTGCACACCTGTAATTCTGGGAATGGGAGTTTGAGGCAGGAGAAATGTGAGTTTCAGGGTAGCCTCATGAAGTTAGTGAGGCCCTCTGGAACTGGGTGAGACCTTACCTGAACATTTAAACAAAAAATATATAAAGTGGTGGGGATGGAGCTCAATGGCAAAGTGCCCTTGGGTTCAATCCTCACTAAAAGAAAAGAAGGAATGAAGGGAAAGAAGGAAGGCAGTGAAGGAGGCAGCGTGGGAGGCAGCGAGGGAGGGAGGGAGGAAGAGAAATAAAGAAAATGAAAGGTAGTACGGATGATTCAAACATGAACATTCCCTGTAAAATCATACACAAGGGCAGAAATCTGCTACCCGGACAGCTTCAGGCCTATTCTTGACCTTTAGATTACAAATGTTAAATAGAGTTTTTATAAAGGGGCTGGAGTGAATTTGAGAATTAAGATACTTCTAAGAAGTTTGAGTTGGCATTTCACTATCCCCTTGTGTCTTAAGTTATTTTAATTACTTCTAAATATTTTACAATCCGGTGCTAAAAACGCCAGTGGTCCCCGTCTATTCTCAACGGAAGATCACCAGAAGTGTTTCAATTTCCCATCCTGTGGAGGCCTGTGGAGTGTGTTTTAAGAGTCTGCCACCACCCTCCCTACTCACCGGCCAGGTGTTTTGGCTCTGGTTCTGTGGGCTCATCCGTGGTAGCCCCGAGGGCAGCCTTCGACGCAGAAATTCCCATGGACGCGTCGCACTCTGCCGAACACGAGGGTGGTGCTTGAGGTGTCCAGTCCCTGATCTTCCTGACCCGGCACCTAGACCGAGAGACCAGCTCCCCTAAGTGACGACGTGACGGAATAAAGGTAGGTGGCCCTCACCAGGCGACCTCTTCTTCCCGCAGCCTGACGCAGACCTCTAGCATTATGAGGGCAGGATTTGAACTTGCTGGAAAAGATGGCGAGGGACCAGAGTAGGGGCAGCCTCCAGCCCTGGGGCGCGGCATCTCCACAGGAGAGGGGAGACCCTTTGTTCGAGTCTTTGTTTTCTTTTCAATTACCCGGAATGCAACTCAGAGGCGCTTTACCTCTAAGCCACATCCCCAGAGCTCCTTACTTTGCATTTGACAAAGGGCCTCATTAAGTTCCTGAAGTTAGTCTCAAATTTACCTTCCTCCTGCCTCACCCTCCCGAATTCATAGGGTTTTACATGTGCACCACTGCCCTGAAACAAAATACGTACCCCAAGATAACACCACCAATGCTATCTCCTCCAGCTACACCCTACCTACCTCAGTTACAACTCAGTCAAGCCCATCAGGAATTAATACACAGATTAGGCTACACCTTTCATAACCCAATCATTTAACACATAGACCCTCTTGCATTGTTTCACACAGGAACTGACCTTTTCAATACTGAATACTTAATGACAATAAAACAACAGCAATTTAATGAATGCTAATATTCTTTCTCACACTGCAAACTGTTCTTAAGCCCATACACAACATGTTGCACTTCCAATATGATGAACATATCTTTCATTACTCTTCATTATACTCACACTTTCCTTTAAGTTCCTGTGTTCCATAATACTTACAATTGTTTTAAAATGCTGCTCTTATAATACTATCACCATTAAAATTTGCAACATGCTTCTCCTCACTTTTATCTTGTATATCAATTCCACTTTTCTACTTTTTCATATATCAACTAATCTCTACTTCAATAACACATATTGTTGACTTTGTTGAGTACTATATTTTCATAACTTCCTTTAAACAATGCTAAACTTTGTTAAGAAATGCACATGCATGGGCTGGGATTGTGGCTCAGCAGTACACTGTTTACCTACCACATGAGAAGCCCTGGGTTTCATCCTCACCACCACATATAAACAAATAAGTATGGATATTCTGAACAACTACAAGAAAAACTAGATATTTTAAAAATTAAAAAATTTTTAAAAAGAAATGCTCATACATGACTTTCAACACAAACATTACTTTCAAATTACCAACCCAGCACTTCACACACTAGGAAAGCACTCTAATAATGAACTACACCCCAATCTACTTTCAAACCATTTTTGAAATGATTCCTTTAATTGTTATTGATATTTACCAACACATATTTTCTTTAACTGGTATTAATACTTAGTTCAGATACTATACCATGTTACAATTTACTACACACTTAAATGCTATACAGACAGAATATTGCAAATATCACCAAGCTTAATTTATGACATTTTCATCACTTTTAAAAGAATCCCTACACCCATTACCAGCAACTCCTCATTGTCCCCAAAAACTCTCAGCCCCCGAAAACCACCAATCAATTTTCTTCTCACTTGCCAATTTTACACATTTCATACAAAAGGAATTATAAACAATATGGATTTGTAACTCCTTTTTTCCTCATTTACCATAATATTGTCAGGGTCATTCATGTTGAAGCACTATGAGCACTTCATTCCTCATTATATCTGAATAATATCATACCATGTATGTACACCACAGCGTTTACACATTCATCTCTTGATAGCCATTTGGCTTATTTAAACTTTTGGACTATGGTGAATACTTCTACACACACAACTATTTCAAAACTTTTTCAATTCTTTTGGGTATATCCATAACAGTGCAATTATGTGGAAGTACACTGAATCTGCACTTAATTCTGTAAGTAATTGCTAAACTACTTTTGATATAAGCAGAACCTGAACAATTTTACATGGCTACCAGCAATATGTGACACTTTAAATCTCCTCACATTTTTGCCAACACTTGCTTTCTGTTTGATTATACTCATCCTACAATGTAAGAAGTATATCACTGCAAATTTCATTTACATTTTAGTAAGGACTCATGATTTTTAGCATTTTTTCATAACCTTATTGATAATTTGTGTATCTACTTTGGACACTCCAATTTTTAAACTTTCATCCTCTTTATTTAGTTTTTCTACGTCTGGGGATGAAACCCAGGACCTTGCGCATAATAGGCTACATTTCCAGTCCCCAAAATTTGAAAATTACATTGTCTTTTGATTCATGAATTATGAAACTTCCAAATACTCTACATTCATGTCCCTTATGACAAACATGCTTTACAAATATTTTCTTCCATTCTTTGGTTATTGGTTTCACTTTCTTTCTTTCTTTTCTTTTTTTTTTTTTTTTTTGGTCAGCACTGGGAAATGAATCTAGGGCACTCTACTAAGCTACCTTCCTCAGCTCTTTTTTTTTTAATATTTATTTTTTAGTTTTCGGCGGACACAACATCTTTGTTTGTATGTGGTACTGAGGATCGAACCCGGGCCGCACGCATGCCAGGCGAGCGTGCTACCACTTGAGCCACATCCCCAGCCCTCCCCAGCTCTTTTCATTGTTTTTTTTTTTAATTATTTTACAGTATTATAATTATGCATAGTATTTACATATATTTTGATGAAATAATATATGCAAGGAATTTCATTTCAATCCCCATTTTGACTTTTCATTTTATTTTGAGACAGTATCTCACTAAGTACCTGAGGGAGACTCAACCACTGAGCCCCAGATCCCCAGCCCTTTTTTATTTTGCTTGGGACTTCCATAAGACTGGCTTTGAACTCATGATCCCCCTGTCTCAGTTTCCCAAGTAGGTGGGATTACAGGCATGTACCATTGTGCCCAGCTTCTTCCCTCCACCCTTCATCCCTTCCTCCCTTCCTTTTCCCCAGTACTGGTAAATGAACCCAGAAAACCTTTACCACAGAACCACATTCCCAACCCTTTTTACTTTTTATTTTGAAACAGGGTCTCACTAAATTGCTGAGGCTAGTCTCAAACTTGATCCTCCTGCCTCAGCCTCCCTTGTCATTGGGATTACAGGCATGCATCACTGCTCATATTTAGTCAGGCTTTTTCACTGCTGTGATTAAAAGGCCTGAAAAGAACAATTTTACAGGAGGAAAAGTTTATTTGGGCCTCATGGTTTCAGACATCTCAGTCCATCAACAGCCAGCTCCATTCCTCAGGGTTCAAGATGATGCAGAATATCATAGTACAAGAGTGTGGCAGAGGGAAGGGGCTCACATAATGATCAGAAAGGAGAGAGACTCCACTCACCAGATACAAATATGTACCCCAAGGCCACGCCCCCAATACCCATTTCCTCTTGTCGCCTACAATTATTACTCAATTAATCCCCACCAGAGTATTAATTCAATGATTGGGTGAAGGCTCTTATAAATCAATCATTTCACCTCTGAATGTTCTTACATTTCCTTACACATAAGCTTTTGGGGGACACCTAAAAAACAGAGTTTTGAGATGAGACTAGATTTTTCACCAATTTCCTTCTAGGTTTTGGTGTCACAAATCTGAACAACAAAATTCATGCACAAGGGCTGGGGCTGTAGCTCAGTGGCAGAGCACTTGCCTCACACATGTGAGGCACTGGGTTCAATCCTTAGCACCACATAAAAATAAACAAATAAAATAAAGTCATTCTATCCATCTACAACTACAAATTTTTTTTTTAATCTATGCACAATAATGGAAGGCAAAAGTAAATGGAAGGGCTGGGGTTGTAGCTCAGTGGTAGAGCAGTTGCTTAGCATGCATGAGGCCCTGGCTTTGATCCTCAGCACCACATAAAAACAAATAAATAAAATAAAGGTATTGTGTCCATCCACAACTAAAAATATTTTTAAAACAGAGTAAATGGAGCAGGATTTATTTAAAGGAGAAGAAATAGAAATCCTGCTATGTGGGAAGGGACCAAAGACCAAAAACCCAAAAGTTTGGGTGCATTAATTTAGGAAATTATATGGTTCTGGTTAGACATGAAACAAACTTTATGTAAAACAAGCATTGAAAACAGCATTAAAACTCTGACCTTTGAGTTTTAATGTAATATAGGCATTGAAAACAGCACCAAAACTCTAGTCTTTGAGTTTTAATCCTTTTCACCTCCTGGGACAGAGGAGTTGTTCTCAGAGGTGAGCCTTATAGCCTTTTGCATTTGAAATAGGGCTTCAGGGTGCTAATTAATATTTCTGTGTTAGCTTCCAGGTGTGGCATTTGCATTTTAGCAAGACCTCAATTGGGGCGCATCATTTCTGATTGCTGATCATTGACTATTTTTATTCAACATCACATCCAAACCCTAATATTATGTCCCTGGCCCACAGAAGCTTATGCCTATATCACAATGCAAAGTACAGTTAGGTCATTTTCAAGAGTCTCCATATTTTCAACAGTTCCAAGATTGCCCAAAAGTTCAGGGCCAAAGTTGTTAGACAGATGAGGACGTGGGAACACTAGGTTAAGGGAATAATTCTATATGAGCTAACTGTGCTGACCCTCTACATGCTTTCTTTGCCAAAAAGCAATTTACCTGAAACTCTGAGTGGCCTAAGTGAAAAGGCTATGTCACATTCCTCAGCAAACTACCTATTATCTGCAAGGAAATTCAGGCAGAAATAAGAGGAACCCAAGTTACTTTGAAGAGAGAGATTTTTATGACCCTTTTCATGCACTGGATCTTAGAATATAAGGATAATTCCTCCTAACCATAAAACCTGTAAAAATTAGTAAGAATCCAATTGGAACTGCTCAGCATGAGCCAAGGTGACATAGAATTGTCATAGCAGTGTGGACTTGAAAGCCTGATGTCATGCTACTGTCAGTCAAAAGTCAAGAGGTAGACCTGGGTGGGACTCTCTGGAAACTTCCCTGGGATCCCCCCCCAAAAAAAAAAAGATCTTAAGTGTGGGAAAAGCATATTGTCTCTCTCCTCTCTGAAAGTGAAGTGGCACCCCCTTTCTCCACAGAAAAGCCCTCTTCACCATGGCTGATTTTAGGACTGTCAGCAAAAGAGTTCATTGTAGATAAACTTCCTATTTTCGTGAGGCCCTGTGTACTTGGCCACTGGCCGAGAAGACACCAGCACTCCAGGTGCTGGACACCCTCTTACTAATTTTTCACAAAAGTATCCACTATAGTACTTTGAAGAAA